ACTAAGGTATATAATGCAGGGTAAAATCAAAGGCAGAAGAAGAGTAGGAAGACTTAAAATCTCGTGGCTACGCAATCTCCGTGAATGGTTTGGATCCAGTTCAATTGAACTATTCAGGCGCGTAACCAACAAAATTATAATCGCAAGAATGATTTCCAATCTCCGATAGGAGCGGAACTTGAAGAAGAAGAAGATACTGTAGTTGAGAATGTGAATACCTTCAAATACTTAGGAACATGGATAGCATCAAATGTAAACCTAACCAAAGAAATTAGGACAGCTACTCTACTTGATGGCTGGGAAACATGGACATTAAAACAAGTGCATCTAAATAAGTTGACCGCCTTTGATTTTAAGTGTTACAGACGAATCCTACAAATATCATGGTCTCAAAGAATATCAAACGCAGGTTACTAGAAGAATAGGAAATAAAGCTGAAATATTGACTATCAAAAGAAGTAAACTTGACTACTTATGCCATGTTATGAGAGGGTAAAGATACCCATTTTGCAGCCTATTATGCAAGGCAACGAATGTCGTGGCTTAAGAACTTGAGGGAATGGTTTGAATGCAGTAGTGCAGAACTATTTAGAGACGCAGTCAACAGCGTCCACATAGCCATGATGATTTCCAACCTTCGATAGAAGATGGAATTTAAAGAAGAAGCCAACCTGGTTAGTTTTTTACATCGAATAAAAATTATTGGAGTTCTATACTGCACTAAAGAAACAACTGATATTTTCTAAAAAAAAAAAAATGATTGTTCAAATGACTAAAATTATTATTGAAGAGCTATTATTGGTGGCTACGTAGAGGAATACATTCATTATATATTTTTCCTTTATGTTGATGTTTTTTACATGAAAAAGTAGATGACATATCACTCTGCTAAATTATTGTTATAACTTTAATATCCTGTATCTGGTATATAACTTTAATATCATATTTCCGTGTTAATCAGGGTCCCGGTTATTAAGTGATTCTGTATATGTTATGATGCACGTATTTTTTATTTATATTTCAGTTTTTAGCATTGTATGCATTTTTAATACTAAGTATTTGTTAATTTGGTAGAAATGTCTATAGTTAATGTACCAAAATTTGGTACTTAACCATTTGTATCGGTAGCTTTGATAATTTAGACCATTTTTTACTGTGTATTTATAATAATATACCCTCTGTGATTTTCCTCTATTAAGAATATTTATTTTTATTGCCATTATTTTGAATTTCAACAGTCGGTATTATCATAACGTTACGTCGATGACGGCAACTATAGTAATATGGATAATATGAGAAGCGCAGCTATTTTAAAGCAACTAGAGCGAAATCTGGAAAATATTTCTGTGTTCTGGTTCGGATAACCATATAGAAAAAAATATTCTACTGTTTGATAATATTTATTAGTGGTGGATTTAGAAATCAGTGTTATTCACATAGTTCTTGTCATTTATTGCATCGAGAGAAAAGTGACTGGGAAATGATATTTGAAAAAGTTTGCAGTTGCTGGTGTTCAGTTAAGCGGGTATTTATCCTACGTTTTGTTGTTCCAATGTGCATATTAATCGTTGCACAGAGAGGCAATCGAAAACCAAAAATACCCGATCAAATTTAAGTGAGTAGAACGGAAGGTCTGCATCTAAACAGTATGTGGAACTCAACGCTACGAAATACGAAACCTCTAATCAGACGCACCGACAATTCCAACACCGATTCAGACCAATTGACATTGGACGGAGGCAAATAAATGCTATAAAAAGCGCACATATTAGAGAAGCACCCTCAGTTTACGAAAGACGGCAAACAAAATAAACCAATTATGTGGGTAGACCTCCAAATACAAATATTGGAAGAAGAATAGGAGAAACTAACAGAATACTACGGAAAACTTGAGAAAGTAGAGGTCATTTAGTAGTTTGGTAGTTGATTTTTACGCACTCATTAACTGATCTTTCGCTAAAACATGTGTTTCGCAATCACAAATGTCTCACCTTAACACAATTAGATGAAGTTTTGTACACAGATGCGTCCAAGAATGAAGAATGTTGTGGCTGTGTAACTACATAATGACAATAAGCTCTGTGCGACTACCTAGAAGTATTTACACCTCAGAATTATATGTTATACTCCAAGCATTAAGGACTTCAATTCCACCTACTTCAAATAAAAGCAAACCAGTTACCATTTGTACTGATTCTCTTTCCCAGATTCATTCGATAAGATGCATCTTCTCAAAAAATCCACTAGTCCAGGAAATACATAACATATGTAACCAACTATATTCTGCTAACATAACCCTCCAGTATGCTACTACTGTAATATCTCCTTTCCATCAACCACGTGATAATGGAGTGCTGCTATTATGATTTTTCTAGAAACGAGAAATATTGAAATTTAAAAAAATGGCTTTCTAATCTGACTAATTTAGATTTAATGTGATTTGAGATTTGTTCAAAAACTTAACAAGACTTGGTTAAAATTTTTGAGTGGATCTGAGAATTGTTTTTTTTTTTGATACTATGTATTGATGTGGTTATTAGGTGTAAAACACAACTATATAATAAATAACTAAAGGAAAATAAAAACAAAGTCAAAACATAGTTTTTGAATAAATCTTAGTTCATCGCTTGAATGATTGCTTTAAATTTATAAGTACTAACTCAGTTGAATGAGTATATACATTATTTTATTTAAGTTTGTACTATTTGGACCTTAACGTGAAAAATAAACGTTAGTTTAGAAGGTGTGTTTTATATAGCAGGACAAGATTGCTCATCAAATTATTAATTTATTTAATCATTAATTATGAATTTGCCACAGAAGAGGATATGGACTACTATAGGATAAAATAATCTCACAGTACTTGGCAAGGAATTAAGTCAAAATCAGGTCATTCTATCCACGTATACAGAGACAACCTTTGTTTACAAAGAAATACTTAACCCTATGGAACCATCTGTTTTGATGCCCATCCGTCCTGGATAATGGCGATGGTTATAGCAATTTTGACTTTATCGAATACTTTCCCTTTAATATCGAACTTAAGTAAACCGTATGTATCATTATGTATGTCATATATGTGTGTAAATCAGTATATATATATATTTCTTATAATATATCCAAAATATTCTAATTTTCATTTTTTTTTTATCGTGATCCGTATTTCACGTTTTTTCTTCATTTCTAAGGAGAGCTTCGGAATTCGTTACACTATTCGTTTGTATCACCAGATTTCAAAAGCTAGGATGCCTTCAATAGTCTAAGCTTGTACTGCGTAAATCAAAATAGAAATTAAAATTCAATTAATTGGCCGACATTTTGTTCTTAGATGAAGACCTCGACTTTTACAAATTAAGTGATTAATTTATTAATTAATTATTTTTTCGTAAATGGTATTGTGTATATTTGAATTTAAAAATAATTTGCACCTTATAAAATTTTAAATGCAATTTTTTTTTTTCAGATATATCAAATTATATTTAAATATTTTAGGCTTTTTTTCCCACCAAAATTAAATTTTGAAATTCCCGCTTGAATTAGTTCCGATACAAATCTTTTGGAGCGCTGAATTTCATATCTTAATAAAGTATTAATTGTCGTGAAGCATCTAGAGGTAAGTGATTTGTGATCACTACCGTACTTTATTAGTGGACATAAATTAAACTCTGTAAACTCCCATCAAGACCTCGTAGTAATAATTAATAGTGTCAATATACGTCAGACTGATTCTTAAGTTTACCGGGACAGTGTGGAGTCCAGATCTCAGTCGCAATGAAATCTTACTTGAAAATGTTCAGCGTAAAGCCTCAAGACTGGCATTCAGCTATGTAAGACCAAATTATGAAAATTAACTCTCTATGGCTCATCAGCATACGGTCAGCGATGTCTTCGGGATTCGGTCACATATAGGTCACAAATTAAAGAGAGAACAGACTACTGCAACCACCAGAGTAAACTTCTTGCCAAAGAGAATATTTAATATCTGGAACAATATGGATCAAGACACCATATCGGCAAGTAGTGTTAACATGTTTAAAAAATAGACCTGATAGTTCTTTATTTCATTTATAGGACTGCGTTATTTATTTATTGTTTTACAATTTTGCATGGTGTACTTAATTGTAATTTTATAATCATTGTTAGTTTTATATTTTTCTTTGTTTTTAAACATAATAGGTGCTCGCTCCTCTGCCTTTATTTATTTTATAATAATAATAATAACTGCAGAGGCAGTTTGCAGCCAACTAGCAACACGACAGAAAACTCCAATTCAGACGACGTGGATAACGGAATTGGAAAAGTGACTACTACAGATGGATTTAATGTATTAGAGGTAGGCCTTAATTAAGCAATAACTCTACTCAGTCGTTATTTTATACCACACTAATTTTAAAGTGAAATATATTTTTTAATAACATAGACTGCATTAGATTTTATAATTTTAGGTTGCTCCCAAGCTTGTTGAACAATGCAAATAATCAACACATGCGGATATTTTGTTATTCATTCACAGATCGGAGTTGATTTGAAACATAAACAAAAAATATCTGTTTTTTGAAACTGATAACTCTAATACAGTTAAGTCTGAATTTAATATGTTGTAACTAATGTAAATATCGTTTCAAATTATACTTTCCAATTCACAAACTACAGAAATCTCTTTTTATTGATATTTTTAAACAGTCCTGGGTTAACCGAAAAAACAATCCCCCTTAATTTTCGTCAACTGGAGCTTTACCGTATTCGTTTATTTTTGATAGGCCCCATCCGCATAAGCATTTGTTTATGTAAGATGCATTCTTGATTCTTCTTTCATCATTGTCCAATGAAGGCCTCCACAGTTGACTGAAATATTTACGGTACTTTTATTTCTATACGTATCTGCCTATCAATTATTTCCCTGTATACTCCCGTGGCATTTTTAAGTAGGATCTTATAGCTACTCCGTACATTGTTGAACACGTCATTTGTTAACTTCATAAAAGGTAAGAAAAAAACAAAACTAAAATTATATCTTTATTAAAAACAAAAAATGGACGAATGATACAGACTTAAGAATTCAATATTAAAAACAACCACATACCCAGTCTATTAAAGGAATGCTTGTTTTCAAATAAAAACTATGAAAAACCCATAAAAACATATCTGCTAATCTTTTTTTTTTTCTTATTAATTTTCCCTAACATCACTAATTTGAACTTGATGCAGAAGAGCTTCTTAATAGGTTCTCGTTGTTAAAGGTGCACATCTTAATTAGGTACTAAGAACCTCAGTTATTGAATAAAGAACACAATCATTATAGAATATCCAAACAGTAATATCGCTATTTCAGAATAATCAAACTAGAAAAATAACTTAACTATAGTACATAATCATAAAATATTTCTTAGGCCATCTAACTACTTTTATCAAAGTATGTACAATCAATTTTATGTTGAAGTTTCTTTGACAACAGGAATTTTACCTTTTAATTTCCAAAGTTCGGTTTAGAATTAAACAAAATACAAGCACATATGACTAGTACTTTTTATACAGTCGAAAAGAAAAATAGATAATACCATTTTATGATATTATCTCATCGGATTGTATTTGACGAGTCACATTGTATATTAGATGCTTAGCTCTTTAACTATATGTGTTCAAAATAAGAGGCAGCGCGAAAATGTATGAGTTCCACATCAATTTTGAGAGAAAAACATTTTTAAACTCTAATTTCACTATTTGGAAGAGTGATTCATCGTTTAAAGGCGGAGAACTGGGAAAAGACGTCGGCACTTTCTCGGCAAAAACGAGTTTTACGGCTATCTGTGGGTGGGAATTACTCCGTCGCTAATTACAAAGTTGCCAAACCATTGAAAAATAATGTTTTAAAATATCGATTTTTATTTTATAAATTTAAATATGTAACGAAACGGAACATATAAATTTTTACAATTGAAAAAATCAGTTTTTTGGTATTTTTATGACGGTAATAATCGCTGCGTGGAAGAATACAGGTTTTGTATGACCATAATTACTACTTGTGAACAAGAATTGGCTACACTGTACGACAACTCCTGGTCAAGTCTTGTATAGAGAAGCACAAATAAATATACTACTTATATATTCTGTAATTTCTTATGAGAAAACGCAAATTGCAATTGAGAAAACGGGTAGTTTTCGAGGGCCGCTGTGTATATTTAAATTTGAGGTTATTCGGCGTTTAAACGATGAATCACTCTTCCAAATAGAGGAATTATAGAATAGATAATAACATTTTCATAACAAATGAGGATGAGATACGCAAAATAGAATGTATCTAATATTAGACACAGTAGGGTTCAACAGACTAAAATTATGTACCTACAAATACCAGTAATAGTTAAAAAAACTAATACAATTTGTTTCATGCAAATTTGATGAGATCCAAATAAACAATCCAGAAAATTATTGCGATTTTCGAATAAAAGCGATTATGTCGCAAACTTCTTTGACATTGACTCACCGATGAGAATCGAATCTTGTTTCCTATGTAATCTTTAGTGTCGTCAATTTGACCACTAATATTGTTATAACTCTTCTCAAACGTATGTATAAATGAATGTATGTAGTTTAATTTGAGGAATATCAATGTGGGACACAATTATTGTTAACTAAAACAAAAATCCTTGACCTAACATTATTCACAAACATGCAGCTTTATTCAAAGTAAAACCTCATTACAACTCTCTTCGATTTTCGTCATGACTGTTTATAGACGAAGAATGAATGATATATTTTCATCTAGTAAAAGCTTCTCTGAGAATTGTGTTATTTTTTTTACTACAAATTTCTATTCACCCATCGATGGCTTGAATTTAAAAAAAATCTGGTATGGGCGACAAATTATTTAAAAAATGCGCGTATCAGACCCTCGCATTTCCACTTATACAAGTAGGAAAAAGCACGCGTTCTCTTAAACGATAGAAATGGAAGATGGAATCAAAGGAAGAAATGGATGAGAAAAAAAGGGAAAAGAAATTGGAAACACTACGTAAATTAAAACATGTAGTGAACAATTAAGGAAAAACGCAAAATAATTATCTAAAACTTTCTAGGATTTGTATGATTCATGATACGATTTCTAGTCTAGTCTAGTCTGATGCATAACAAGACAGTGACAAAAGATTACAAGTGAAGGGAATTCTGATATTCATTACTAAACCTTTTCTGACGATAATCTACTGTTCTCCTCTGTGTCAATTTAAATAAACAAAAATCTAGTACACTTTATCAGTACTTTGTCAAATATCTTTAAAAAATGTCCTTTTACATTTTGACTTACACCAAAAGTAAAAAAATATTGATCGACTTTTTCTTCATCCTTTTGCCAAGGAACTTCAACATATCATTGCCAAATTAATAATAGATTAGAAAATATACATTATATATTATCGTTGTTGATTATTGACAGATTTAAAATCATTTTGTTAGCTGCTGCCATGAATACTGAATGCCTCATGAAATTTTTTCATTTAAAAAAATAAAAACTAGTGGAACTGACGAAAATTGTGCACGAATGGGTATAAAAAAGTATAAATCGTATAAAAAGGTGTAAAAAGCTAAAGCTAACTTCACAATTATTGAATAATGGAGATTTTTATTGGAACTAATGTCAGAAAATGTTTTAAGAACACTACAATCTTGCTTCGTAATAAATCATACAAATTTTTACGAATAATACGTAATTTATCATTACTTAAACTTTTGAAGTCTAAAATAAACAATTGGTTAAGTAATTTTCGTTGAACCAAAGAAAATATAATAGTATATAGTAGTAAAACAACTTTAGAATGCAATAAATAAATTTAACACTGAAGTGATTCCCACAGACTGGCTAAATGTATCTTTGTCGCAATACCTAAAACACAATGCTAGGAAATGCTCAGGATATCGATTAATTACCCTAATGAAACACACTATTTTCCTAAGAATACTTCACAACAGAGTTGTAGGCATAAATTGCAGCAGAGTTGAGGCGTAAATGTGAGGAAGATCTGGAAGAAATTCAGTGTGGCTTTGGAAATGGTAGGGGAACTAGGGACGCACTTTTTGCGCTAAATATTCTATTATAAAAATGCCGTGATCAAAGAAATGATATCTTTGCATCGAAAAGGCATTCGATAAAGTACAGTGTACAAAATTAATACAGATGCTAAAAAATATATAAATAAATGATAAATATATTCGTTACAATTTGGCGCCCAACGTGGGACGCCATTTTGTAACGAATTGATTTTGCCTGCCATATAGCAAGATTATGAGGCTAGAAAATCGGGGACAGAAATTATTGGGGGTGGAGATGGGGCAAGTAAAATAAAACGATACTTATGCGGATAGCACTCAGAGGTTAATTGGAGAGCTGGGTCGTGAATAAGTTGAATAACAAGGGGCCCGATTGGGGCAACTACAAAATTAAACAAAGGGGTACTTACATAAATCTCCTGGACAAATAGTCAAATAGAGACAACAAGAAAGGGCTTCTAGCAATTTGAGATAAGGGCGCCGCTTCCAAGAATCCTAAACTTGCTGGAGGAAAGAAAAAAGGCTCTTCCTTCCTAAAAAAGTAAGCACAAAGGTTAAAAGATTTTTCTAAAATCGAAAAATGGTTTGAGAAATAAATTAAACATTTAGTACTGTCAACACAAACAGTTACAAATGTTTAATTTATTTCTCAAACCATTTTTTTATTTTAGAAAAATCTCCTAACCTTTTTTGTGCTTACTTTTTTAGGAAGGAAGATTTTCTTTCCTCCAGCAAGTTTAGGATTCTTCGAAGCAGCGCCCTTATCTCAAATTGCTAGAATCCCTTTCTTGTTGTCTCTATTTGACTATTTGTCCAGGAGATTTATGTGTGTTTATGTGTTTTACCGCTTTGTTTCATTTTGTAGTTGCCCCAATCCGACCCCTTGATATTCAACTTATTCACGACCCAGCTCTCCAATTAACCTCTGAGTGCCATCCGCATGAGTATCGTTTTATTTTAGTTGCCCCATCTCCACCCACAATAATTTGTGTGCCCAATTTTCTACTTCAATAATCTTACCAAGTGGTAGGCAAAATAAATTCGTTACAAAACAAGGTTACATTCGGTCTCTAACATTGTTGAATATTTACTCGGACAATTCATTTTAAAAACCACTTCAGATACAGTCAGATAATGAATAAAAATCAACGGGGAATTACTTAATGTAATCAGATCTGTGGACGAAACAGTAATTATTCTGTCTAAATGAATGAAATTAATATTGGTATAACATTAAATAGAAACATTTGAAGATGCGTAATTAGTCCAACCGACTCTAAATGTTACTGATGTTTAACTTAAATGTAGCCTGAAATACGTTTTGGATACTCCAATTTATGACTGAAGTTCCAAGAAAAATCTACTTTGCCTGTTTACATCTAACATTTATATTAATTTCTTTAAATGCACCATATCATACCGATTTCGATTTTTTGATCGTTTAGCAGCCTATTCGGTAAAATGCAGTCATACAAAACATTGACACACAATTTTTAGTCCAGTTTTCAGTATAATATTGTCGAAGTTATAACATTGATAGAATTTTACATTACGCTTTGGTTTTTAATTGACTCACTGTAGTAGGAAGTACCAAAAGGTACTAGAAGGATATTTGGTACATCACAAACAAAATTTGACTCAGTTTCTAGGCAATATTCGCACAGTAAACGCATATTTATAAATAAAGGCTCTAATTGCACTGCTGACTGCAAAACTTATTTTGTTTTCCGGTTATCTGTTATCTGTCATCTGTTAAACATACTAGACATGTTTTATCTTAATATATTGAGGAAAACTATGTCCGACTATTAAACAGTTTCGTAAGTGACTATACCAGTTTTTTGGTTTAAGTTTCTCATTCAAAAACAGACCCTTTAGAGATTCTTTAGTATATTTTTTAAAATGTTTTATAGATTTTTTTTTTATAAGTTTGGTCCTCAGGTACAAGGTCTTATCAAACGCGGCAATATTATGGAAAAAGATTAGAGATTTTTTGCATATCCAGCACATTCCTATTACAGTGAGAAAAGGTTTTATATTTTATTAAATTTTATGCGAGAAAAATTTGCATATACTGAAAATTGGCTAATTTGTTCCAGTTTAATTAAACAATATCAACACTAAAGTGATTACACTAGCTAAAGCTGCTGGGAGATTCTTCGTAACTGAATTTAACCATATTATTCCTGGATAGTTAGGATTGGGCTCTGAGACTTCTACAAAATAAAAAAAAACAATATGTTAGTAAACGAAAAAGAATTTTCAATTTTTATAGCTACATAAGGACAAAAAATTGTCCAAAAATATAATTATATGACGCACCCTTGTGTGCTTATGTGGTACCCTTATAATTTTTGACGAAAATGCCCTGATCTTTTGATTTTTTTCGATTCTTTTTACAAATTTGGCAAATATTGAACATGGTTAGAAGAAATCCTTAGTAGTTTTTAACAAGAAATATTGTTAGAAAATATAAATAATGTCGAAATCCCCACGGAAAATGAAATTCCTGTGGTTGGCTGTATAAAAAATATTTTTACTACGTCATTTCTGTTTAGTAATGTCAAAAGTATTTATTATTATCGTGATTGTGTTAATAATTGGCAATTTTAAGATGTCTTTGTGTGCAGAAATTGTTGCATCTACTGTTGCTCTTGTTCAGGGCTTAAGAAGTTAAGTTTACGTAGCTGACAGATACGGCATTTTATGCAGCACAGTGCAACTTGTCTTTACTCATTTTTTAGATACAGGACTTCATTCTCGACGTTCTAGAATAGGTACCCAGAGAAGAACTACTCATCGGGACAACCATTTTATATTGTCTTCAGTATTAAGTAACCGTCATTTAATTCCTATTGGTTAGAAACACTCGTGAACATGTCAGAAACGTAAATGTTAGTGAACGAACCATTAGAAGGCGTTCAAATGAGGCGAACACTGTTAAAACTTTAGACTTAGATATTGGAACTTTCGAGCAACCCCGTATACTGCACCTCAAGTTAAGTACACCCCTCGAGAGGGGATGCAAGTAGCGGAGGAGAAGCCAGTCACAGTCCACGCTCATCTCGAGTCAACACAACATCATTTACGCTTAGGACGCTATTTTTACATTGATCGTATACAAATATTTTAAATGTGCTATTTTTTTTACTTCAATACAGTTTTAGTTTAAGTGATTTGTTTTTGTGTATTATTACGTGAAATTCCAATAAGATTCAACCTACACCCCAACATAATTGGTCATTCGAGCGGATTACCCAGTGATTATTTTTGCTGTTCATTCCATGTAAGCTGAATTCATTTTCTACGGAATTTGCCGTCCCATTCACACAGTTTATCATCGGAAGACGCAGGTATATTCTCTTTTCAAAGGTTAGTGCACATTTCCTTTATTTACCTTTCTACTATCTTTTATGGTCGTTAAAAGGGTACATTTGTATTTGATGTAATTCAGTGGAAATATTTATTTTTAAAAGCAGGTATTTTAATCCTTTAACACATTTAGAGATTTCAATATTTTCATTTATACATTAATTAATACATAGTAGCGTCCTTAAATTTATTTCAATTTTTTCATTTTACATTTATAAATTATTACAAGTTGAAATATTATCTTTTTTAGTTTTTTATTCACTCGCAAAGCATTTTTACACACATTACATAATTGATTTTGATTGTTTTTTGCATATACATACATACATTTTTACTTTTGTGAATAAGTTATATTGTTACTATGGCTGACATCGCTACAGCAAAAACTAAACGCTCTTCAATCAAAGGTTCTGTAACCCGTTTTAGTACGTATTTTAAGTCTATCAAAAACAAACCTTTAGAACAAATTAACTTTAGGGATTTACAACTTAGACTTGATAGAATTGAGAAACTTTTTGATGATTTTGACAACGCTCAATCATTTATTGAGGCCTCTGATGAGGACTATACTGCCAACGCAGATACTATTCATGGTGTTGAAAGGTCATCTTTCGAAACGCCGTTTTTCCATATTACTAGCGCTGTGCGAGATTTTATTGACACCAATTTTTCAAAACCCTGTATTCAGGCTGCTCAAGCTTCAAATTCGACAATTTCGTCCGAAAATACTTCACAAAGATCTATTAATATTAGGTTACCCGCTATTAACTTGCCCTCCTTTGAGGGTGACTATGAAAATTGGTTGTTCTTTAGGGATACATTTAATTCCATCATTCATACAAACACAGAACTTTCCAATATTCAGAAATTCCACTATCTAAGATTATCTTTACAAGGTATTGCCGCAGAAACAATACGTAACCTGGACATTTCTGAGGCAACATATGAAACTGCGTGGGAGTTACTAAAAGACAGATTCGAAAACAAATCTCTTCTTGTCAATAATCACATTAAAAAATTATTTAACCTACCAAATGTTTCAAAAAATTCGCATCATGATCTACGGACTTTACTTGATGGTTTCCAAAGACATTTACGCTCTCTTGAGTCCTTAGACTTAGACACAACATCTTGGGATGCCCTTATTATATATTTAATTACCACGAAACTAGACAATGCCACACACAAAGAATGGGAACTGTCAATTAAAGACGATAAGAACACATTACCCACTTTGAGTAGCTTAACTGAATTTTTAAAAGGTAAATGTAGAGTCTTAGAATGTATTAATCATCAAGAAGAAAAATCTCGTCCTAAATTTTCATCTACAGGCAATCCCAAATCCAAGAATTTCTTGTCAACGAATAATTCTTCCAACTGTTCTTTATGCAAACAAAAACATCTAATTTACACTTGTCCTGATTTTCTCAAACTAGAAACGTCGTTAAGACATAATGAAGCAAAACGCTTGCGACTTTGCATAAATTGTCTGCGTAGTGGTCATTTCACTAAGGAATGCAAATCTTCCGGGTGTCGTAAATGTGGAAAAATACACCACACACTTTTACACTTTCAAAGTAACTCACCAAAGCTTACTGAAACCAGTAATCAAACCATCAGCAGTTTACCTTGCTCAAGTCCAGGTACATCAGAAGGGTCTAATGCACTGACAGCACGTAACATTTCGTTTGAGCACAACTCTACTACTTTGCTGTCAACTGTAAAAATAAACGTCTTTGACATCTCAGGTAACGAACACGAGGCTCGTGCACTTCTAGATAATGGCTCTGAAAGTAATTTCATTTCCCAGCGCCTATTAAATCTTCTAAGGTTGCCTACAACCAAAACACATTTTTCTATTTCTGGTATAAACCAAACAAATTCTATTGTAAGCTACAGAACATCGGTCAAATTTAAGTCCAAAACTTTAAACTTTTCTCAAGTAATTTCTTGCTTAGTGCTTCCTGAAATTGCAGGAAATTTACCTTCTGTCACATTCGATAAGAAAATACTCAATATCCCTTCCAATATTACTCTGGCCGATCCAGACTTTAATATTTCTTCTCCTATTGATCTTCTTATCGGTGCAGACATCTTCTGGAATTTAATTTGTATTGGTCAGATTAAATTTTCACCTGGACAACCGATTCTTCAAAAAACTAAACTTGGATGGATTATCTCAGGTCCATTATTTCCAAACAATACCCTTGCAGCCAGAACTACATGCCATTTGTCGACCATAAACAAGTTGAGCATAGAAGATCAACTTCAAAAATTTTGGGAAATTGAAGAATGCCCAAAAACAAAATTTTTGTCTAACGAAGAACTTTCTTGTGAAGATCACTTCTTAAAAACAACCTCTCTTAATTCTTCTGGTAGGTTTGTAGTATCACTTCCCTTGAAATCTTCCGTCGACAATCTAGGCGACTCTAAGACTACAGCAATAAAAAGGTTCTATTCTCTCGAAAGGAAACTTAATGCGAATTTTGAATTAAAAGTTGATTACACTCGATTTATCGATGACTATTTATCCTTACACCATATGTCCGTTTCACCCTTTGAAACCACAGGCTATGAGTTCTTTCTTCCTCATCATTGTGTCTATAAAGGCAATAAAATTCGTGTTGTTTTTGACGGTTCTGCCAATACAGATTCAGGTGTTTCCCTGAATGACATTCTTATGGTTGGACCTAATTTACAAGATGACCTTTTTACTATCATCTCACGTTTTCGTAAACATAATTTTGTAGTAACAGCTGATATAGAAAAGATGTATCGACAAATTCTGATAAAGGAGGAAGAACGCTCCTTACAAAAGATCATATGGCGGTCTAATCATACAAACTCTCTCGAAACTTATACTTTAAACACCGTTACTTACGGTACTGCTTCTGCTAGTTTTCTTGCCACTAGATGTCTTCAAGAAGTGGCACATATGTATGCAACCGATTTTTCCGACATATCTTCTATAATTTTACGGGACTTTTATGTTGACGATCTTCACACAGGTGGTTCTACAATAGAAGATATCAAACGCATTCAATCATTTACTTCCGAATTATTGTCTCGTCATGGTTTTCAATTGAGAAAATGGAAGTCAAACGCCCCTATTTTAAACTTTGACAATCAAAATAATGTTTCCTTGGAAATTGGAGCTGACGATACTATCAAAACATTGGGCTTATTGTGGAGTCCCAAATCTGACACTTCTCATTTCAATGTTCAACCTATAGAGCACAAGTGTAAAGTTACAAAGAGACTTATTCTTTCCACTATATCAAAAATATTTGATCCACTAGGTTTGCTTTCGGCTGTAACTATAACAGCTAAAATTATTCTACAAGATTTGTGGAAACTAAAAATTTCTTGGGATGAAGTCGTTCCCATGGATATCTTTACAAAATTCAATTCAATTCAAAAAGTCAATTCAACTACACGGTTTTTCAGATGCATCCACCACCGCATATGGTGCTTGCATTTATATTCGTTCATCTGAAAACTTTGAAAATTTTCATTGTCATCTACTTTGTTCCAAAACTAGAGTAGCTCCTTTAAAACACATTCTCACGGTACCGCGTCTAGAACTTTGTGGAGCTTACTTGCTAGCTGAGTTGATAGACAAGGTAAAACAACACATGCAATTAGATTTCGAAGAAATCACTTACTGGTGCGACTCCACTATTGTTCTAGGATGGATAAAGACTGCTCCGAGTTTGTTAAAGACGTTTGTGGCAAATAGAGTTTCTCAAATTCAAACTTTGACCGAATCTCACACATGGCGTTACGTGAATACACTTGAGAATCCCGCAGATCTTCTTCCAAGGGGAATTTCCCCTACGTCACT